CTGGAAAACCTGCCCCCCCCCCCTTCCCCGCGCATCCCCGCTGTCCCGCAGCCTCTCGTCCTTGCTTTGCCGGTTGGGTCCTCCGGCCGCCAGAGGCCGCTGCAGGCCCCTGTTCGGGCTGTAGTAAGCGGCTGCGGGGACCCGCGGGCCTGGGGAGCCGGCGGTGCTGAGAGGTAGGGGTGCGAATCCCGAAAGGGCATGGGCATAGGGTTCTGGGCGCCAGGTGACTCCGAGCAGGGGTGCGTAGGTCCGGGGCTGGTGATCCCTGGGCCCGGGATTGGGGCGTGGGGTGAACCCTGGGTGCAGGTCCTGGTATGGGGTCGAGGCAGAGCAACCCCGAGTGGGGGCGCGGGGGTTTTGGGTAGGGTTCGGAGCTCGGGGGCCCCGGGGCGGATTCAGGGGTCCAGGGTGGGGCAACCCGTGGGCGCGAGATGACCTGTGGGCGGGGTCCGGGCAGAGCGACCCTGGGGCTCGCGTCTCGCCCCACCCCCGGCTCCGCTGTGGTCGTTGCCCTAGGAGCCGCCCGGCGGCATCACAGGCCCGGAGTCGGGGCCTTCGGCAGTGGCGCCTGCAGAGCTGCCCAGGGTTGCAGGCCCTCAGGGCAGGGTCTGTGGGCCAGCAATGGGGGTGGGCTCCTGGTTGAGCCAGAGCCGGCGGGACCCTTATCCCAGGCTGTGCCTGTGAACTGGCCTCCATTGGCCTTCACCTTGGGCTTGGGAATTCTTACTGGGTCATGCCCCTAGCGCCCCCATGAGGAACAGGCCCCCCCATCAGGAAGGAGGCTTCCAGTCTTAGGAGGCAGAGCTTTCACCCACCCCTTAGGTTCTAGGAGGAGGCAGCAGGCCAGAATGCCTGAATGCTTGTTCCCCCTGAACTCCTGCTGGCCTGTCCACTGTCACCCTGCACCATAGCTGTCCTCCAGGAATGTTAAATTCGTGGAAGTAATAGCAGTTTCCCCTTAGGTCCCTGTGGGGAACTCTGGGATTTCTGGGCCTCCAACCATGCAGCATCTGGCCCTGCCCCTGCTGGACTGCCCCAGGCCTGACCAAGAGCCCCTGCGGGTCCTTTCTGAACCTCACTGGGGACATCTGACCTCGCATCCCTGACACTGGGCATCGCCGGCAGCCCTGGAAGAACCGTCTTCCAGGTTGGCTTGGCTGCCATTGTCAGTGAGGGCTGGCCCCTGGACTATGCCGTCCAAGTCAGCCTGCTTGGGGTGCTCAGAAGTGACTCCCAAGCAGCCCACTGCCCACGGCCAACTGCATCCTGAAGGCAGAATGCTCAAGGGGCAAGTTCTAAACACAGACAAAGACCTGGCTCCCTGCCCAGGGTCCCCTCCTACAGACAGCTGTCCCAGCCCTCAGAAGAGCCCAGTGGTCCCTCTGGACATTCCAGCAAAAATCAGCAATGAAGACCCACAGGCTAAGGCAAAACCCTTCACCCCGAAGCCACCAACGAGGCCCAGGCTAGAGCGGGCACTGTCCCTGGATGAGAAGGGCTGGAGGAGGAGGCGTTTCCGAAACAGTCAGGAGGACCTGGCCCCTCGGAATGGGGCCAGCCCATCCAGGGGTTCCTTGCAGGACGAGGTTCCCGGGCCTTCCACCCACACTTGCTTCCCGCCTTGCCTGAGCACCTCCTTGCAGGAAATCCCCACGTCCCGCAGGGCTCCGGGCAACGGCGGCAGGAGCCCCTCCTCATGGGGTAACTGTGTCTCTGGAATGATTGGCACCTCCCTGGACCTCCTGCACCGTGACAGGGCCTTGGGTGGGAGCACCCCCAGGCTGGCCTGTGGGCTTCCCTCACGCCCACTGCCTGCCATGGAATGGAGCATCGCCTCTGACTCCCTGCGGACAGCGCACAAGGTGGACGCGGATCACACGGACTACAAGCTCCGCTTGCAGGCCAGGCTGTCCCGGGCCCACAGCAGCCTGGGCCCCGGCCGGCCCCCAAGCCCCCTGGCCTGCGACGACTGTTCCCTGCGCTCGGCGAAATCCTCCTTCAGCCTCCTGGCACCCATTCGTGCCAAAGATGTCCGGAGCAGGTAGGGCCTCCCCGGGGCTGGGAGTGGGGTACGGCTTCTGTGGCCTTTATTTTAGGGTTCAGAAGCAAGCTCCCCAAGGACCATGTGATGGTATTCTCATCAAAATGTGTCAGGGGCATAAAGGTGGAGACTAACCATGTCTCTCTCAATAACCCTGTCTCCTTCCCAGGGGACTCCCCTGCCAGGACTGATAGCTAGACATGTGATTGTTGGACCAAGGGCCCAGCCACATGGAGGGAGGGTCCCAGGATCCACTCTGGCAGCGAGAGGACAGCAGACGAGGCCTGATTTCCTGCACTTTGCTTCCAGCAGGGGCCCATAATTTCTCTGGTGTTCTGGGACTCAGTTTGCTGAGCACCTACCGTCACTTGTGGAGGGGGAAGGGCTCACATCATGGAAGACACTGGGTTTCTGGGCTTTATGGGGCTTTAATATTTAATCCATATTGACATTTTTATGGCTTAAAAAGAACCTGGGTGCCATCCCTGTGTCTTCCCTTCTGCTCACAACTCCCAGACGCATGCTTCATTCTGGCTCATCTCTCCTGAGTGCAGAGCCATGAATTCACCAGACTGGGGGGCACAGAGACTTTGGAGCTCCCACCCCCACGCAGACCCGTGACTTCTTCCTGAGCTGGAGCCTCTGGGAGCTTGGTCGGCCGTGCGGAGGTGCCCAGCTGTGACTCCACCCTCCCGAAGGCGTCTGCCGTGTCTCCCCACCCCGGTTCCCTCCTCATCGGCCAGGCCCCTCTCCCCGCCAGGGCTGCACTGGTTGTTGGATGCACACATCCAGCCGTGGCCCTGACTTGGGGGACCCCAGCGGCATGTCTCAGCAGCTGGCCCCTTCCTGGGTCCATCTGCTTGGACCCCAAGTTCAGTCTTCCCTCTTCTCTGCAGGAGCTACCTGGAGGGCAGTCTCCTGGCCAGCGGGGCCCTGATGGGGGCAGAGGAGTTGGCCCGGTACTTCCCGGACCGGAACGTGGCCCTCTTCGTGGCCACCTGGAACATGCAGGGCCAGAAGGTAAGTGGAGCGCCCACCCCTCTCAGGATGAGGCCAGGATTCCTCCTGTTCTTTCCAGGGCCTCTGAGCCACACCCATTCCCTGACGTCCCCAGACACCTGCTGCCAACACCCCCACTGCATTGGTGACGAGGCAGCAGTGCGTCCTTTTTTCACAGCCACTTTATTTAGAGCAGTTTTAGGTGGACAGCAAATTTGAAAGTACAGCACTTTCCCGAGCCCCTCCCCCACCGCAGCCGCCGCACGCGCCACAGTTGAACCCACACTGGCTCGGCGTCGCCCAGAGCCCGTCTACCTTGGGGTCCCTCCTGGATGTTTCGTGGGGCCTGACGAATGCGTGTGTGTCTCAGGCAGCGCCACCCGTGCTTCATGCTGTGCGTCTCCCACCAGCAGGAGCTGCACACACCCTTGTTCCCCATGCCCTGCCTGGGGTCCTGCTGTGAGCTGGGGGCACCCGGGACATCTCTGTCGATGACAGCGACACCTCTGGCCTGAGGGGTGCTTCGCATCCCGGCCTCCATGGTTGACCCAGAGCCGTAGGCCCGGCTTGCACACTGATTTCTGGGGAAGCCCACTGGCTGAGGTCCCCGCCTGCTTCCTTTGCTGCTAACCCCGTGTCTCCCTGGGACCCCTTCACACAGCGAGGTCTGTCCTCAGTTCAGCGGGCTCCGTCTTCCTGCCTGCGGGGCCCTGGTTTCTGGAGGTGGGCGGGGCCTCGTTCTGGGCTTTGGGTGATCCTGGCACCCATGGGGTGAGAGACAGGATTGTTGCCACAAGTGGCGTCTTGAGGCCACTTCCCGAATGCCTCCTGTTGCTGCAAGTCCAGCGCGTTTGATGAGGACGGAAGGACCTCCCTGTCATGGCTGCGTTCCAGCTGACATTCGGGTGACAGTCCCTGGGGAGAAAACGAGGCAGGGCAGCCTTCCGGGTGAGGTTTGGCTGACGTAACTGGAAGCCCGGACAAAACAGCCACCTGATGGAGACGGGAGTGATTTTCTGTGGAGCTGGAGGAGGAAGGGCCCAGGCTGGTGGCTCTGCTATCCTCAGGAAGCCACTCTCCCCATCCACAGGGCATGGCCCTCGTCCTGGGCCTGCCAGACTTGCAGGGCCAAAGCCAGGTGGCGTTGCAGCCAAAGGATGGGGTGGAAAAGGGCAAGGGGTGCTCACTTCCCTGTGGGACCCGCTGTACCCCAACTGTACCTGGCCCTGGGTGTGCATGTGGGGGTACACACTTAGGATCAGGCTCAGGGGCCAGGCTGAGGCCAGATGCAACTCACCAGCAGCTGTGGGGAGCACAGCCAGGGAATGGGTGCTGACTCGGCTGTGGCAATGACAGGCTGGGAGAGGGAAGGCCGGGGATCCCCGGGCAGAGCAGGAGCCCCGTGTGCTGGGCCCCTCCGGCCCCTTGCTAGGCGCTGCTGCTTCTTAGGAACTGCCTGCAAACCTGGACGAGCTCCTGCTGCCCGCCGAGGCTGACTACGTCCAGGACCTGTACGTTGTTGGCGTCCAGGAGGGTTGTTCCGACAGGTAGGGCCCCCCTCCCCGCCTGGCTTCCCCCCCAGCCCATCAGTCCCCACGGGTCCCTGTGAATAGCACTGCTGAGGTGACCCTTTGGGGCAGAAGCTGCTGTGACCCAAGACCCCATCACCAAGTTGAACATGCAAACTGCCTTATTCTAAAACGGTGACTCACAATTTAAAATAAATAAGGTTTAACTTCTGGTTAATAATAGCTGATCTAAGAGATTATAAATGCAGCAAAGAGCAGCTCGGCCACTTGTTCCCTCCAGGCTGTCAGCCAGACCCCTAAATCATGCTGCTGACCCACTCGGGCTCACCTGTCCTCTGTCTCACCCTGCACATTCGGCATTGTTGAGGGTCACCTGGTGAGGGGTGCCAGCTCCAGGCAGCACATGAGTGTCCGGCTCCTCACACAACAGCAGGTGTCCTGCCCTCCCTCCTGCCTAGCCTGGGACTTCTCCTGGCGCCTCTTGCCAGGTGGCCTGGGAACTCTTGCTCAAGTCCTAGCAGGGTTGGGACCTGGCCCCATGTCACTGGAGCCCTTTCAAGGCAGCGGGTAACCAGGCCTGTGACATCTCTGCAGATATCCGAGAAAGCTGGTTTCACAGGGAGGCCCCAGCAGACCCAGGACCCCTTGTGTTGCCCATGTCCGCCATTCTCCTTGCGAGATGAGGCTGGACGGTGGGGGGACCTCCAGCAACTCCTCCAGGGTCCCGGGATGTGGAGCTGGGAGGCCCGGATTTCTCCCCAGGGCGCCTCTGCTTCCTCCTCAGGCGGGAGTGGGAGACGCGCCTACAGGAGACTCTGGGCCCGCACTATGTCATGCTGCACTCGGTGGCCCACGGGGCACTCTACATGTCCGTCCTCATACGCAGGGACCTCATTTGGTTCTGCTCAGGTAGGCCCCTCGCCCGCACCGCTCACCTCTGCCCCGGGGCACGTGCATGCTGATTATAGGCACTGCGCACCCTGCACCCTCAGGCTGCAGGGGGGGGGTCTGGTCAGCTCTGCTTCCTCTCATGCAGAGGTGGAGACCTCCACGGTGACCACGCGCATCGTGTCCCAAATCAAGACCAAGGGGGCCCTGGGCGTCGGCTTCACTTTCTTCGGCACCTCCTTCCTCTTCATCACGTCCCATTTCACCTGTAAGTCACCTGCACCTGACTCCAGGCAGTGGAAGGACAGCCTGGAAGGCAGGGTGCTGGGTCCCTCACCTTGGCCTCGCTTACTGCAGCCCCAGGTCCTAAAAGACCCTGATAGCTATGATGGTGGCCTCCTCCTGCGGGCTCCATTCGAGAGGGGTAGTGGGGTGGGTCACTGCAGGTCCTGCATGGTGACAGCATGCTGCTGCAGGGGGTTTCCACCCCGGACTGACCACCCAGGGCCCAGCCGAGTCAGAGACCTGCCCCTCGAGAGGCTCCCACCATTCTGTCCTTGCAGCTGGCGACGGGAAGGTCAGTGAGAGGCTGCTGGACTACAGCAAGACCATCCAAGGCCTGGCCCTGCCCAAGAACGTCCCAGACACCTGCCCCTATCGTTCTGACTCAGGTGAGCAGGC